TGTGTGTGTGTGTGTGTGTGTGTGTGTGTGTGTGTGTGTGTGTGTGTGTACCACATGCATGACTGGTGCCTGATGAAGCCAAGAGGAGGGTGTCAAATCCCCTAGAACAGGAATAAAGGATGATTATGAACTACCACGAGGGTCCCGGGAATCAAACCTAGGTCTTCTGTAAAAGCTACAAGTGCTCTTAACCCCTGACCCCCAAGACTGATATTTTCGTTTGAAGGTGAGACAATTATAAATCCACATTATGGGATATGTTCCATGTCCTATTTGAGTTGGCAACCATAAAAGTCCTGCAGGTCCTTCCGAGACTCCTCACATTCAGGCCGGTGGGGCTGGCTCATTGGTAAAGTACTCGCCATGTAAGCATGAGGCCCTGCATCTGATTCCCCAGAACCCACCTAGAAATGCTGGGCATGGGTGCGAGGGCTTGTAATCCCAGCACTGGGTATGAAGAGGCGTGGATCCCTGGGTGCTCGCTCGCCGGCCAGTTTAGTCTCACTGGTGGGTACCGGGCCAATGAGAGAAAGGAAGCACAGAAGGCTCTGGGTGATGACCCTTGACCTCCACATGCACCTGCGCGCGCGCGCGCCCATACACACACACACACACACACAGAGTGTGCAAGCACATACATATTAAAAAAGAATATGTCACACAGAAGATGGAAGGTGGCAGCAAAAATGGAAGCTGGGGTTGAGAGAGGTGCTGGAAATGAGAAGACGACCTGGCGTTCTTAAACTGGTGTCACTGCACCCTATTTTAGGTTTTTCTTACCATTTCAATTTTCTGTTGCAGTTTCCCAGTTTCATCTTCGAGTTCTTTAATCCTCTTATTCCGTTTTTCTAACTCATGAGTTAGACGGTCCTTGACCTTTTGAAGCTTGGCTCTGTGGCCGTGGTGTTTGTCTTTGTAGTTTCTATAAAAGCAAAATTCAGGATAAGCATGCCAGAACACAACTAGGGCCTATTTGGCCTCCTTTGGGATATGACCCATGGACCTTTAACATGGTTGGCTCACATCATCTTCACCTCATGAGGGATGAATCTAGAACTACCCTGTCTCTTTAGCCGGCCCCACAAACTCAAGCCTCTGGCTTATCTCAGTTTGAGCTGACGACAGCTTTAGCGTCTGAATTTAATTTAAACTCCTGGACTTTGAATCTCTGATGTAGGGATTCTGACTACTGCCCCACTAATGAGAATTATTACTTACATTTTTCTGGTTCCTGGCTATACTGTTTCACTTTGAGACAGGGTCTCACTATGTAGCCCTGCCTGGCCGACCTGGAGCTTTCTATGTAGACCAGGCTGACTTTGAACTCACAGAGATCCACCTGGCTCTGCCTTCCTCCCAAGTGCTGAACCTAAAGGCACATGCTGCCGTACCTGGCCTATCCTCTTTCCATTTTTTAAAATTATTATTTCCCCACAAGTGTAGGTGGAGGTTGTGGGACAAGTTATAGAAGTTGGATCTCTCCTAGCATGCGGGTTTCAGGGACTGAACTCAGGCTGTAAGGTTTTGTGGCAAATAGCATCACCAGCTGAGCCTTCTGGCTGGCCCCTAATTTTTATCATTACAGTCCACGGGGTTTGGCTGAGCAAGAGTTGTCTTGTAAAATAGCTGACTTGGTTTTCTGTATAACTAGATTTTTCTAGCTTTCTTCGTGCCTACGTGAGTCCATGCACATTTTGGTTAACAGCATTTAAGGAGGAAAACAGCGTTCCCGGAGAGAAACCGGCATGCACTTGCTTTCGTCTCTTCCTGCTGGCTGACTGAAATGTGACTGTTGCAGTGAACGTCCTCACCATGTGGAGGGTGTCCACACGTTACAGCTACAAGAGGCCAAGCCAGGTGGTGGCGCACGAGAGGCAGGTGGATCTGAGTTCGAGGACAGCCTGGACTACAGAGTTCCAGGATGGCCAGGGCTACACAGAGAAACCCTGTCTACAACAACAACACAAAACCAAACCCTCAAACAAAAAACAACCAAATAAAAACAAGCAAAACAAGAGCAACAAAACAAGACTACAGGATGCTCGATACAATACTACAGGACGGCAAAACGGTAGAACCCAGGCTCCTGGTGCATGAACCTCTGTGCCAGTCATGGATTGCTTATGTTTGCACTGTCAGGTAAGAAAACACTCCATACACTGCATGGCCCCTTTTCAGTGTTTTGAGGCAGAGTTCCAGTACATTGCTTAGACTGGCCTGGAACTAACTTTTTATATCTTCTGCTTTGTGTGTGTGTTCATGTGTGAGTGCAGGTGTGCATAAATGCATGGGTAAGTGTGGAGGCCAAAGGTCAGTGTCTGAGGGTTGCCCTCTGCCTTCTATTTGACACTGAACCTGAAGCTCACCCACTTGACTAGGCTGAGTGACCCCAGGGAGTTCCAGGGATCTTGCCTGTCTTCCCCTCTCCCTCAGGACTGGGGTCACGGGCTTGTTACATGGTTTTTGGGGACCTAAACTCAGTTCCTCATGCAACTTTACCTGCTGAGCTGGCTCCTGGCCTCTGAAGCCATTCATATTCAGGTTCTCTCGTACAGTACCCTAACTAATAGTGCTCACTACAGAGAGCTACCGTCACACGCCCATTTCAGTCTGTGTCCCTTGCACAGTTCCCACTATGTAGTATATGAAGACTATACTTCAGTAAACCTCTTTCATTTCCTAAGAAAAAAATTCCCTCCCATAACAATCTCCTTTCCTTTTGCACTGAGGATGCACAGTGGAAGCCGTTCCTGTGCGTCAGTGTCCTCGGAGCATCTGAAACAGAGCATCTCTCAGTGTATGCTAGCCTTTCTAGCTCCCCTGGCTGTCCATAGTAGTGCTAATGAATGTTTGGTTTTGTGACAGTGTCTCACAATGTGGCCCAGGCTGGCTTTGAACTCCTGATTCTTCCGCCTTTAGTTCCTGAGTGCTGAGATTATAGTGTGCCACCACATCCAATAAATTCATGATAGCTTTTTTTTTTTTTCTAAAATATTGTGTCTCATGTAATCCAGGGTAACCTTGAACTTGGCTACATATCTGAAGCTGACCTTGAACTGCTGCTCCTCCTGCCTCAACCAACCAATAGCTAATGTTACAGGTCTGTGACAACATAACCACTAATGTTTTAACATTGTCTAACACACAACACATGCTCTTAGAAATTCTTCTACTTATCCTGGCTATTAAAACCCAATCTTGGGCTGGAGAGTTGGCTGAGCAGTTAAGGGCACTTTTTCTTGCAGAGGACCCAGGTTCAACTGCCAGCACCCACATGATAGCTCACAACCATCTATAACTCCAGGCCCAGGGGATCCCATGTCCTCTTCAGAGCTCCAAGGACACCAGACATGCATGTTGCACACCTACTTATGTGCAAATAAAACACACATACACATAAAAGGACAAAATAAAAAAAATAATTAATTGCCAGGTGTAATGGCACACACTTTTAATCGGAGCACTCAGGAAAGCAGAGGCAGGAAAATCTCTGTGAGTTCAAGGCCAGCCTGGTTCAGGATAGCCAAGGTACAGAGGGAAACCCTGTCTAAAAAAAAAGAAGAAAAAAATTAATTAAAACCCCCAATCAGGCAGGTGTGGTGGCACACGTCTTTAATCCCAGAGCTCAGGAGACAGGGGAAGGCGGATCTCTATGAGTTTGAGGCCAGTCTGGACTACAAAGCAAGTCCAGGACAGCCAGGGCTATTATACAAAGAAACCTGTCTCCAAAAACCAAAAACCAAAAGAAAAAAAAAAAAAAAGCCAAACATACAAACAAACCACCACCATTACAACCACAAAAAACCTAAAACCCAAAACCCCAATCATTAGTTTTCCTACCAAAGAGCTGCTGTATTGCCATTTAGATTAAAACTAAATTGTTTTGAAAGGGATAAATTTTAGAGAAATTGGGAAAATAGCCGATTCCCAATATGTTTGGTATTGTCACACTGTTTTCTGTCTGGTTTGTAAAATTATGTATAAGTGTGTGGGTTTGTGTGCACTTGGTGCCGGACAGCCAGGGAGAACCCAGAGGCTTCCCCGGCCACTGCTGTCTGGCTTAAGTACTGGTTAAGCCTCAGGCTCTAGGTCAGCTTGCCCAGGGCATGTGGGGCTTTTCTGGCCTTCTGAATTCATTAAGCACCAGCCTTACAAGGTAGCACAACACTCAGGGGTCCAAGTAAAACCAGATGGCCTGTTACTTGGGCCTCAGGAAGGTGAGGGATTTGTTCCCAGTTGAGAAAATACGTAAATACAAGGTTTATCGGTAAAGATCAGGATGGAAGTCAGGGAGACAAAAACCACAATGAACCTTGTGCTTTGACATTCCCTGCCATTGTCCTTTCCAGATCTGTGCTCTTCAACTCTGGACATGCGTTAGAACCAGATGGTGATGCTCTGGGGAAACACTCTTTTTTTTTTTTTTTTCATAGATTTTGATTAAATTCATGTATGTAAGGACCATGGCGCATGCAACTGGGGTTAGATTCATTTTTCTAAAGGTCACGCATAAATAACAGCCTCACAGCCATAGCGCTCTGTCTCTTGCTCTCTCTCTCTCTCTCTCTCTCTCTCTCTCTCAAAATACGATGGAAAACCCTGGCTGTAAGTACACATGTAAATAATGGAATATGTTGAGTGACAAAAGTCAGGGACAAAAAGAACAACATGCAGAATGAATCTATTTAGAAATTCTGGAAAGCACAGACATCACGACAGCGGCTGCCTGAGGACTAGAGGGACCGAGGGGTCAGAGCTGCAGACTGAACTGTCGTCGGGCGGGAGAGCACTGGGGACACGGTCTGCATCTTGTCTGAGGTGGGAGTTGCGTGTAAATACACGCTCGTCGAAACGCACTGAATTGGACAATAGTTTTCTGGACATGTATTTGGTACACATCAAAGCAAGAATGCTGGAGGAAACTTTCGTCCGGGTCTCCTCCCTCTACAAAGGGGATGTGGACAAACAGCAGCTCCTCCATCACGATGGCAGCAGTGGCGGGAGGGCTCCCAAAGGCAATCAGGCCTGTGGTGGGATCCCAGCAGGTCTAGAGGCAGCATAAACTTTGCTGCCTCTTCGTTAGCTCTTTGTGCTCCTTGGCGCCAATTGCTGGTCAGGGCATGAAACACAGTGAGTAAAGTAGTGTGGTTTCGTAATCACTGATTCAGAGTTCCACGGCAGCTTGATACCGAGTGTCACCAGAGTGAGAAAGAGACTTACGTCTGGCCTCAGGGAGGTGGCACAGGAAGGCTCTGCTAGGGAGGCGGGTGACACTGCAGTGATCAGTTGGGCCTTTTGGGTTCTCTGGCTCTCAGGCGTCCAGTGCACATCACTGCCCAGGCCGAAGAAAGGACGTAAGAGGGGTACTGGAGAGACAGCTCAACCGTTAGGTGCGCTTGTTGCTCTTCCAGGGGGCACCCGTTCAGTACCGAGCTCCCACTTGGCGACTCACGACCACCTGTAACTCCCGTTCCAGGGGATCTGGCGCCCTCTTCTGGTCTTCAGGGGCTCTTTCATGCATGTGTGGCATATAAATGCCACACACATACACAAACACATAAGTTAAAGACAAGTAAGTAAATATTAGAGAACAAGGGGAAACCCTTGAAGACAGTGAGAGGGTATATTTGGGGAAAGCACGATTCATACAGACGGAGAGCATCGTGATTGCCCAAGTCCCTCTTCTTGGGAAGGAACTGGGCCCCGCATCTTCCTTAGAACACTGTGTAGTTGGGACTGGGAGATCACGGTGGTAGCCCGTCAGTGAGATTGCTCTGGCAGCTGCTGGCGGGGCAGCTCTCTGTGTCCTGGTTGTCTGCGGGGAGCTTGCTTAGTTTACCTCACGTGCTCACCAAGTTGCTCCAGAAACTGCGCGTGCTCTTGCCATAGAGCTTCCTTCTCCTGCTGTAACCTAGACAGCCTCTCTGACAGTTCCTGGTTGCTCTTGACATACTGAAAAACATGGGGGCGGGGGGAGACTAGTCTGTGTCTTTGCAGACAAGTCCTCACGTAAAATCCTAATGGCAGGATTTGATGAGCCTTGGGGCAGCTGAACACGGGGGGCTTTCGGGGAGACGCTGGGAGTCAGCTCGCTCCTATCGCAGGAAGACAGGAGCTTCTGGATCAGGACCCTTCCCAACCTCAGCCTATGTGTCCCTTTGTCTGGCTGCTCATTTCTACCCTTTAACAAATCAACAGAAGCATAGCATTCCCCTGTGTGAGTGGGATTTCCAGCCTTGCATAAGGCCACACGTGGTGGCACTTCTAATCCTAACAATTGGTCAAGGGCGTTTTCAGCTACATGAGCGTGTGAGGCCACCTGGTATTGCCTGAGACTCTGAAAAAGAAATAATTCCAGAGGCCTAGCCTTGCCACTGGGATCTGAAGTCTTGAAGACTGAACTCTAATCCATGAGGTCTGATAAAATAGTCACCAGGTCTATTGTATCAGAGTTGAATTGAATTAGAGGTACCTAGCCTCTGGTCACTCAAAAGGCATCACTGGCTTGCTGGTGGGCGGAAAGCCACACATCTCCGGGGACATGATACTCCTGTGCTCACCGATGTGATATGAGAGGAGAGGAGGCAGTTTGCTTTTTAATAAAATGAGTGCATTAAAAAAAACACCTCTTGATCTTGGTCCATAAGGCTGTTTGGATTTAGAAAGTGGTTGTGGAGACTAGAAACTCAAAAGTGGGAATCTGAGCTGGTTAGTGTTGAGGCCTGATCTTTGACATAGCTGTAGCCATCTTTGTGTTCTCCTTCCATTTGTTTATAAGGTGAAATTAAGTTCAAAATCATAAACTTTTCAACTCTGCTTCCTGGAAGCGGTTGTTGATAGCTGGTACTAGCAGGCCCTGCCAAAGTGTCAAGCTGACCTTATATTTTACTGCGATTCAATAGTGTCATAACTCACGCTTTATTGCTCATTTGGCTACACCCTGGTTGCACACTTATCTACACACCTGGCTACACTTTGGCTGTGCTCTAGAGGACCCTAAGCCCTGCCTCACTTACCTCCTTAGGACCAATCGGCTTAAAGGTTAGCTGATAATGCTTTGTCTAGCTAGACAACAACCGTACATTGCTTTGTACGGTTAGCCAAACTGTGTTACTGCCCTGCTCCCACCCCTGTCTTCTGTGCTTGGTCAACGTCACAGTTAGGCTCCTGAGTTCCTTTCTGTGTCCCTGGTCATGATCAGTCTTGGAGTGGAGCATTCAATAAACCGTCCATATCTGACTGAGACTGGTGTTTGAGTGGTTTGTGTGGCTATTCTTGGACTATAACAGTTAGATTGCAATGTTCAGGCTAACTATACCTTACCCAGAATCCTCGAGATAAGAAGCATTCAGGATTTGGGGATATTTGCAAATTACCTTGGGAATGAGACCCAAGGCCGGAGATAAAATTCATTTATGTCACATATATACCTTATTCACACAAGCTGAAATTATCATAATATTTTTGTGCACCTGCATTTTGATGACCTGTCACATGAGGTCAGGGGTGGCGCTGGCCACATGTGGTGTCAGGCCAGACAGATTCTTGCGGTGTTACTCATCATGGCTTAGAGCTCCCCCCAGCTAAAATCAATCTTCCTACTTCAGTCTTTACCAAGTAGCTGGGACTACAGGCATGTGACACCATAGTGGGCTCCAAAAAGTTCAAATTTGGGGGCATTTCAGACTTCCAAGTTTTGGATTAGGGATTTGTTGTTATTGTTGTTTTTCAAGGCAGGGGTTTCTCTGTGTAGACCTGCTTGTCCTGGAACTCACTCTGTAGACTAGGCTGGCCTTGAACTCAGAGATCCACCTGCCTCTGCTTCAAGTGCTGGGATTACAGGCTTGTGCCGTTACCGCTCAGTGGATTAGATATTCTTAACCTTCGGTCTGAGCTCATTGATACTAAGCACCCATGGCAAAAGACTTGACTACATTATCAGCTAACAGTTGCCTGTAGGGAAGCGCTTCGGAAGACCATAAGCGTCCCCCTAGATCCTCCTAGATCTCAACCTTCCCAATGCTGAGACCCTGTAATCTAGTTCCTCATGTTGTGTGGACCCCCCCCCCCACAAAATTATTTTCCTTGCTACTTCATAACTATAATTTTGCCACTGTTATGAATCATAATGCTAATATATGATATGTGACCTCTGTGAAAGGGTCATTTGACCCCAAGGGGGTTGTGACCCACAGGTTGAGAAGCACTTGCCCTAGTGGCTCATGTCAAAGCCTTGGTGGCCCACTGATGGGCTTTGGGGAAACTGACTGGATCCTGAGGTTTCTGAACTAAATAATAAATAATAATGGATTAACTCCTTGCTGGATTCATCAGGGTAGGGCTTAGTTAGAGGAAGGGATCACCTGGGTATGGCCTGGAAAGGTGTTCAGGCCCCTCCCCCCTCCTCTCTCTGCTTCTTGGCTGCCATCAGGTGACAGTTGCTCCTCCAGGCATTTTCCCACTGTGACTCTCTGCCTCAGGCCACGGACAGAGGCCTTTGACACCGAGGAGAAATAAACCTTTCCTCCCATATGGTTCATTCTCAAGTCTTCGGCCTCAGAGACAAAAAACAATGCTTAACCAGCAGTGCTGTGATGGAACTGACAACTCCATGTCTGCAAGGTGAGCCAGACACCGCTGATCAGGTCAGTGAACTTCCAAGGAGAACACTTCCAACCTAGGAGTCTAATTACTAGACCACAGTAGAGTTGGAGGACCACAGAGGTTTTATGAGTATCTTAAGATAACCTCTCTTGTAGCTAGAAGGCCAGTGTAACACAAAACCAAACTTCCTCAAACAGACGGCAGATTTCCAGCACACATTGATTTCACTGTCTTGTCCTCTTCTGTGAAGGGCTTGGGGAAGAATGATGTCTTGACAGGACCACCGAGCCCCATGGCAGTGCAAAGCAGCCCGGCCCCGCTGTCCCAACAGTTTAAAGTTCTTGCTTTGAGTTCTGTATGGATTGCATCTTACTTAGGCAGGTACCTTGGAAGAAGACGCCTGTTGCCACAGATGCAGTTCTTTTGGCAGAAGGCTTGCCTAGCATGCATGGGGACCTGGGTTTGATCCCCTGCATGCCACAGACCAGGCATGGTGTCACACACCAGTCATGTAAGCACTGGGAGGCAGAGGTGGGAAGATCAGAAGTTCAAGGTCATCTCAGCTACACAGTGAATTCAAGATCAGCTTGTAGGCCAGGGCTACACAGAGAAACCTTGTCTCAAAACCAAAACGAAGCGAAAAAAAGATGCCATTGTCCTTAAAAGCCACCTGTATATCACGGTCGCATCTTTTCTTATTGTCTCCACTCATAACGTGGAGTTAGTTCTTACAAAGCCAGAAGCTTCAGGCATATGTGAAGGAATGAATGGATTTCTAGGAGGCTAAGGTAGGGAGGAAGGACTACAATACTGAACAGACCGAAGTTACTACTAGGGATGTGCTTATCAGAGTCAGCATTCAAATTAGTGATTTCTCTCTCTCTCTCTGTGTGTGTGTGTGTGTGTGTGTGTGTGTGTTTATGCACATTTATGCAGAGGCCAGAAGAGGGTGCTGAATCCCCTGACGCTGGAGTTACCTGTGGGATGTGAGCTGCCAGATGTGGGTGCTGGGAGCTCAACTCTGGTCCTCTGTAAAAGCAACAGGTGCTCTTATCCACTGAGCCATCTCTTCAGCTCTGGGATTTGAAATGTCAATGGGAACCTCTAAGAGTGACTTTAAATAGTTAGGTCAGCTGACTGAAACTTGAACTCAACAGCCACCTATATTCAGTGGCAGTAAAATGTCTTCCTTAGGGCTGGAGAGATGGCTCAGAGGTTAAGAGCACTGTCTGCTCTTCCAGGGGTCCTGAGTTAAATTCCCAGCAACCACATGGTGGCTCATAACCATCTATAATGTAAACTGATGCTCTCTTCTGGCGTGCAGGTGTACATGCAGATAGAGCACTCACACACATAAATAATTCTTTAAAAAAAAGATGTCTTATTTAGCACAAGGAAGAGGAAGGAAACAAAAAACTGATATAGATAGGAATTTTAGAGTAGTTAGTCATGGGTGACAGTTGGTGGGCCCAAAGGATGGGAATTGTCTCCAACCACGTGGCTCCCTGGTTTTAGTGGGGTTCAGAGTACTACAGAGGACCAGAGGACAGGTGGCAGCATTTAAACCCTAGGTGTGGGTGTGTTATTACAGCTCATAGGCAACAGGAACAATCAAATAGATTGATGAATAGCAAACAATCTGGGCTCTTGGTTCACTGTAATGCAAGTTTTGATTTTTTTGCAAACTCAGTTATCTTATGTAAATAACATAACTTTTGTTTTAATCCCAAGTGTGAGATTTTAGTTTGGGTTATAGTTTGTCCACAGCTGATAACTGTCTCGTGCAGGGTGTGGCCTTTGCCAGTCTGCCTTGTGAGGGAAGGAGGGGGACGTGGCCTAGGACTCTGAGGGATATAAATATGGGAGCTTGGACAGAGAAAGGTGGCATGTGGTGTAGAGCAGCCTGGACAGACAGACAGACAGACAGACAGAAACCTTTCAACACAGCGCAGGGGCTTGGAGGAGACTCCCTGCTGCATCTGTTGTCAACAGAGATTGCTATAGCCCCAGAGGAACCTATCAACCCTCAACAACCGGGAGAAGTAAAGGGGTCAGTGTCCCCTCTCCACTAACCTTTTCTCTCCTACCTAGGGTTGGGGGGTTAGGAAGGAGAGCCTTTAAGGAACCTCAAATAAAGTAGAGCTTAAAAACGAGCGCTACAGGTCACAGTGACTGATAAACAAGTAATCTGAATCTTTTTGATAGCAGCATGTTTTGAAACAGGGTATTTTATTTGTAGCCCAGGATGACCCGCCTCCATTTCTTCCCTTTAAAGGGGGGCAGAGTAGGCAGAAATCGAATGTTTCTCTTGCCCTGGGTCATTTAGGTTCTGACAAAGCTCCATCACTTCAGGTTCTGGTTAAACAGTTTCCTTACTAAGAAGCTCTGAAGGTCCCCATCCCCCACCCCTCCAACAGCCCTCCTGCCAGGAGTCCAGGGAGAGATTCTTCAAATATTCACACACAGAACCTGGCTGAAACCCACAAACTCGTGAGGCCTCAAAACTGTAGAGTCCGCTGGAGTTCTTGTCTCTCAGAATTTTCTGTCCACACTGAGCCTTCAACAGTTATCGGCTTCAGCACAGGCTTTCCTGCCTGGTTCTCACCGGCGAGTCATGGTGTTGGTCTCTCCAACCTCCCGTGGCCTCGCTTCTCTGATAGATCAAAAAGTATGGTTAAAATTTTTTCAGCTTGCTCACTTTTTCTTTGTTTGTGGTTAGTATGAAGAAGGGATAACTTCCAAGTTTCTTTTGTACAAAACCCTGGGCCAGAAACTCTCAAATAATTCCATGAGGTTAGGAATTGGAGAGCTTGTGGGCTGGTGAGCATGTGGAGGTGCAGGATGGATACATCAACTCTGGTCTCGTCCCACATTCCTGGGCAGCTCTTCCTTCTGGATAGTTCCGAGTTGTGACCTTTTCTAATGGGCTAGTAACCAAGTAAACGTTTGCGGAGGCATTCTGCTTTTATGTATGTCTAGGTACATCTCTGTGTGTGTAACACTGCAGAGGTCGGAAGAGGGCGTCACATCCCCTGAGGCCAGAGTTGCAGGCAGTTGTGAAGCTGCCTGATATGGGTGTTGGGGATCCAGCTTTGCTCCTCTGGAAGAACAGCAAATGCTCTTAACCTGCTAACTGTTCCTCCAGCCCCTCTGGAGCCATTCTAACACATGACCAAACCTGACCAAACCTCTATCACAGCCACTTTAGATTCATAGCTCATCTTCAGGGGCAAAGGGGAAAACCTAGACTGATAACTGGGGTGATTTCTGATGGCAGAGTTACAACACCACAAATGGGGTGGTCCTGCAGGACAAACCCTCACCTTGGGGTCTGATGCTGTCTCCGGGGAGATAGTGTCCCTGGGGTTAAAAGTTGTACACCCTGTTGGTACTCACATAGAGTTGCTTGGTGTGTGTGGGAAAACCAAAGAACAACAAACAAGAACAACAATAAGAGCCCTGTTCATCTGCCTCAGAAGTGAAGTACTGGAAGGCATGTTGCTCATAAAGAAAGCAGGTTTGCTTTCCCCTGTTGGTGTTTCCTCGAACACTGTCAGAGGCACGGGAGACAACAGACGAGTCATCTTTGGAGGTAGCGTCCCTGTGATCTCTGGCTCCTCTGGATTTATTGGAAACACAGCACGTCCTTCTGATCTCTCATCCAGTGGCTTTGCAAGCATTTTTTCCTCATGTACTAAATACCTTCTTGTTTGTTTTGGGGCTTAGGGCACAGAACTCCAAAACCACTGAACCACTGACGTACCATTATGTGTTGGCTATTTTTATGTCAACTTGACACAAGCTAGACTCATTTGAAAGGAGGGAACCTCAGTTGAGAAAATGTCTCCATAAGATCCAGCTGTAGGGCATCTTCTTTCCTTCCTTTCTTTTTCTTCTTTTTTTATTTTTGTTTTTTGAGACAGGGTTTCTCTGTAACCATGACTATTCTGCCACTCACTTTGTAGACCAGGCTGGCCTCTAACTCAGAGATCCACCTGCTTCTGCCTCCCAAGTGCTGGGATCAAAGGTGTGTGTGAACACCATCCCAGGCTACAAGGCATTTTCTTGGTTAGTGCTGATGGGGGAGTGCTGACGCTCTCTAGCCCACTGTGGGTAGTGCCATTTTTGGGCTGGTGATCCTGGGTTCTATAAGAAAAAGCAGACTGAGCGCTGGGCATGGTGGCACACACCTGTAATTCCAGAACTCTGGGAGACAGAGGCAGGTGAATCTCTGTGAGTTCAAGGCCAGACTGGTGTACAAAGTGAGTTCAGGATAGCCAAGGCTACACAGAGAAACCCCTGTCTCAGGGGGAGGGGGGAAAGAAACAAAGAAAGAAAAAAACTAAAAAAGTAGGCTGAGCAAGCCATAATGAGCAAGCCAGTAAGCATTATTCCTCCATGGCCTCTGCATCAGCTCCTGCCTCCAGGGTCCAGGCTTGCTTGAGTTCCTGCCCTGACTCCCTTCAGTGATGGACTATGATATGGAAGTATAAAACTAGTTCAGTAGACCAGGCTGGCCTCAAATGCACAGAGATCCCCTGCCTGCCTCCCCAGGATTGGGATTAAAGGTATGCACCACCACCACCTGGCCTCCAACTTGCTTTTGGTCATGGCATTCCACCACAGAAATAGTAACCCTATCTAGATGATCTCCTGTGTCCTTCCTCCCTGTGTTTTTATTCTGAGAAACTACAGAAATTACATGGAAGCAGCTCGGAAGAGCTATCTCTTGTAAAAGAAATTTACACCCATACAGGAAATGCAGTCAGCAAGTTTCTATGTCAGGAAGAGGGCTTTATTCATGTGTGTGTGTGTGTGTGTGTGTGTGTGTGTGTGTGTGTGAAAGAGAGAGAGAGCGTGTCTGTGTGTGTGAATATGAGCGTGTGTGCACCCCAGCCTTCATGTAGATGTCAGAGGGTAGCAGCTGATGTCTCTTGCCTTTTCATCTTTCAGACAGGGTCCTTTTTGTTTCCTACACTGTGTTCACCATCATCCCCGGACCCTGAACTCCCACGGACTCTCCAGTCTCTGCCTCCAGTTTCCCAACAGGAACACTGGAATTACAGACACTCTCACTGTCTGTTCGGCTTTTACATGGGTCCCGGGTATTCAAGCTCAGGTATCCACACATGCATGGCACGTGCTAATACCCAGGGGGCGATGTCCCTGGCCTACACCACTGTCATTATCGGAGAGACTTGATCTGTGCCTGAGACAACCCCTCTCTCACCCTATAACTCCTCCCTACACTCTCCTGTATCCTGTCTCAACTGTGCTCCAGGGGTCCCAAGGCCCTTTCTAGATAGCCCAGGATGCTGTACAAACTTTGAATATCTGACCTGTTTTAAGTCTCATGTTTTGTGGGACACCCATACATATACATGTAATTAAAAGTGATCTTACTCCTATTAATTTGCCCTATGTTGTTAATTTAAAAAGTCTTTTCCCTTTTCTAGTTTATGTCTAACGGTGCTTTGCCTGCATGTATATGTGCATGCACCATATTCGTGTCTGGTGCCTGAGGAGTTCCAGAGAGGATCTAGGACCCCTTGGAACTGGAGCTACAGATAGTTGGGAGCTACCATGTGGGTACTTGGAATTGAACTCACGTCTTCCACAAGACCAGCCAGTGCTCCTAATCATTGGTACATCTTTCTAGCTCTTATCTATTTAGTTTATGGCCCAAACAGCCCAGAACAATATAGGGAAGTCATATTTCCTTCCCCATATATATGGATATATACATTCCATAATTACAGATGTATGTATCTCTCCATATTTACATGTATGGTATACTTGTTTTCCCAGCTAGATTCAGGAGGTGAAGTGTACTCAGTGGTAATTAGCTAAACAGCAACAGTCCAGTCTCTGAGGGCAGGGAGACGGGGAAGCCTGTCTGCTGCTTTCTTACCTCATCACACTTTGTCCTCTCGTTTTCCAGCTGTTTGTGCAGAGCCTCTTGTTGCTGGGAACTGGTGGCTTCCCGTTGGTCCTCCTGATCCTGCAACGCTCTCACTTGTCTCTGGAGTTCATTTATGTCCTGGTCTAGGAGGACCCTGAGGGCGGGCAATCAATGCACAGCAGGTCACTCTGTGTTCTGCCACACTCTGCAAATGGCTCTAAAACTTCTGGGACAGCAAAGGGCGAGTTTGCTGTTTGGGGGCAGTGAGGTACGGTGGTATGTCTACAAGCTAAGGGGAGCCATGGTGGGAACTTCCAACATAACAGAAACTTTTCCTTAATTCTCCTTCTTGCCATCAAGACAAACCCATGAGGAAGAAATGATTTTCCTTATGGCTGAGACAAGGAAAGCATGGCACCAGAACAGCTCAGGCAAGGCTGAGGTGAGGCTCTCCTCCTGAGTCCACAAGCCTTCTTCCCCAGTGCCTTCCATGGCCCCGCAAGCTTCCGGCTCCAAACACCCACGGCAGCCCTGCTACAGCTGACCCAGGGACCGAACGCCTTGATGGGAGAATTCACGTTTCCAGTGAGCACCTTCAGTGCCTGTTCTTTCAAATTACAGCTCCTGGAAAGACTTTCTGAGGATTCAGACTGGGATTCTTCATTTGGGAGATTCGTCTTGAAGAATATGAGGATGGTAGTGATGAAATGGGGCACTGATTGGGGACATCTCACCTGCATGCCAGGGCAGTGGAATCCTAATCCTGTCAAGACAGCTTTGCTTTCTCGAGTTTTAAGCAAGCAGTAGGTTTCTGGATAGGTTACTCTGAGACCCTGGCTCACAGCTCTGCTGGCTCACAGCTCTGTACCGCTTGCTCCTCTGTTCTTTGGGTGTAAGTGCAGGCACACAAAGGATTGTTGGAGCTTAATTCTACCAATCACTCCTAACCCTACACCAGCTTCCTCACCATCATTTCTGCTTTATCCAAATCACTCTGTCATATCTGAGAATCCCTGCCACCATCATCTCTTTCTTCTTTATGATTCCGTTAGATATTAGCAACCTTAGGAGATACTTGGGCTGGACCTGTTCTTTATAATCAGTAGCCGAGAAACCCTAGGATGTTAAGTACCGGACAGGGGAATGGACCTGAGTCTGGTCTCTGCCTCTATAAGGAGATGACATCCTGAATTACTTTGATATAACTTTAGATAGTTAATTATAACTATCTAACTATAGTTAACAATAGCTATCTAAACTGTCCTCAGGAGCCCTAAACCTTACAATATTACTGCATGGAGGGGGGCGTTCTGGTAAAGAACAAGGACATACCATGGCCTTCTCCCTGGAAGGCCAATCTAGACAGGCCTGTCAGTCACTTGGATGGGGAGACTACTTGTTCTAGAGAGGTCAGCAACAGTACAAATGCTGTCTGCAATGCAATTGGCGCACTGGTCCCTTTGCCCATGCTGTCTCCTCTCCTCTCCAGTAAGCTGGGTATCTTCTACATTCCACTCTGCAAGCCTCATCTGAATTCTTCTGGCAGACATTTCACAAGCGCTGGGGAGCTGAGGGCAGACAGAGTGAGAGCCGCTGACAGCTCCGTTCTTAGTTTTGGTCCAAGGGACTGCATAAGAGCTAAGCCCTGGAACTGAGGGGATATTAAGCTGCTAGAACTGAGAAGGTCTTGGATTATCTAGAGTACAGCCTGGGAGTTGAAATGGAAATTGACAACTAGGAGGTGTGAATCGAAAAAAGCAACTCAGGGATTTGCTAGATACTAGATAAAAACAGAGACTTCACAAACTACAGTTTTAGCACTGACGGGCAAAATTCTCACTCTCATGCCAGGTCCCGGGGTTGAGAAGGTCCAACAAGAGCTTCTGTTTTCCCCACAGCCTGAGTCTCTTCACGGGTCCATTATTTATACAGTGGATCCTGGAACTTCTCCCATCGTTTTTTTTTCTGGTGTTGACAGTTGAACCCAGGGTCTTGTGCCTGCTAGACAACTGTTCCACCACTGAGCTACAATCCAAGCTCCACATAAACCCCTTCAGTGGCGCAGGCCAGGTGGTGGTGGCCACAGCAGCAGCAGCACCTTTAATCCCAGCACTAGAGGCAGGTGGATCTTTGTGGATTGAGGTCAGCCTGGTCTACAGAGATCGTTCAAGGCCAGCCTGGTCTACAGAGTGAGTTCCAAGACAGCCAGGGCTACAAAGAGAAATCAAAAAACAAGCAGAGAAGAAGGAGAAAGAGGAGAAGGAGGAAGGAAGGATGGAAAGAAAGAAAGAAAGAAAGAAAGACAGGAAGAAAGAGAGAGAGAGAAACAAAGAACGAACAAACGAAAGAAAGAAAGAAAGAAAGAAAGAAAGAAAGAAAGAAAG